CAGCTGTGGAATAATTAGAACTGCTGCGAACATATATTCTCAACACTAACACTGGGGTACATTTACCTATAAATATGTATGCCGGTACATGTAATCACAATCCCACACTCGCGTATTGATGTTGATGCACACCCGGACACTAGCATTTGCTTCAATGTGGCCAGATATATTCGGCCATGTGAGGATATGAGTGTAATAATAATAATAATAATAATAATAATAATAATAATAATAATAATAATAATAATAATAATAATAATAATAATAATAATAATAATAATAATAATAATAATAATCATATAGTAATGATAATATTAGTATTAATATTATTGTTGTTGTCGTTGTGTCTCGCAAAACGTCTAACGTGTCAATTCCATACTCTGTCAATACTGTGTCGTTATGTAAGGTTTATAAGATCAGAAATCTTGGTGTTCTTTTTGATAGCATGCTAAATTTTTTTTCTACTCGCAGTAAACGTGCTGCCATTTGAGGCGTTCGTTCTCTCTCTGTTGACATAATATCTCTTGAGAATTTAGTTCTCTATAGACTTCTGGACATTGTACACCCCGATATGTCTTTCTCAACTGAAGTATATATGCATATTTGATTGGAATGGCCTTGCAAAATTCAGCAGTCACACCACTGAGCGAGTCCAGAAAAAAATCACAAGCATTTACACCCATCGTTTCACTAGACTTTTCAACACTGCTAGAATATTGTCTGCTCCATCACTTAACGGTCGACAAAACCGCGCTGGGCTGTTATTTTTTTACAAGGTATGATATTCTGCCCTTCTTCCTTGTAATAATTTTCAAATTCCGCGTAAGGTATCCAGAGAAAATCGACAGTTGCACGTACCTGCCAGATTTTTCACACTATCCTTCACAGAATACCGAGTCTCTCTAACAGTAACTTTCTTGATTCCTTATGTTCTTCCTAGTCCACAGTCACTTTATTTTATCAATGAGGTTTGCCCTGTCCTAACGTAGATTTGCACATGTACCGACTCTTTCCTTTTCCGTCTTTCAGGAAGTCTTCCACACAGTTGTGTATAATCCGCAATATTTTTCTGTCAAATTTCATGAATATCTTCTCTTTTTATATATTGTTCCCAATTTGCATTGATTTCTTTTTGTCTGCGCTTTTTTTCACTTTTTATTGATTTGATTTTCTGTAGACAGTTTATGATGAACTGTTTTTTATTGTTCTTTTATTCTTGCGTGCGCTAGCACAAGAGACCATATGATTGTTTCTGGATACGTTGAATAAATGATTAGTTGATGACTTGTCGATTGAATATTATTGTTAATAATATGAATGCTTCATAAGTAATATGGAATACCGGCTTGAACGCCTCTTGGTAGCCAGCCTACACGATGCAGTGACTGCAGCTTCACCGAATAGCTGTCCGAACGCAAGGAAACATCACTGTCGCTCTATTCCTTGATGTCCACTGAGCATATGACACAGTGAGTCACGTTCACGTTCTGGAAGGCCTGGTGTTACAGGGATTCAAGGGCAAGATACTGCGTTGGATCGCTGATTTCCTGAAGCACCGGAAAATTTTTGTAGTTACGCAGGAGGGCCCAACGTCAGAACATGTCGTCAACCAAGGAGTGCCACAGGGCAGCGTGCTAAGCCCTACTCTCTTTAATGCAGTCATGGCGCAGCTCCTGCATAATCTTCCACCATACATCAGATGTTCAGTATATGCTGATGATATAAGTATACGGACGTATGGTCCATCGTTTTTGGATGTACAAGAAACTCTACAAGAAGGATTGGATTATGTAGACCATTTTCTAAAAAAAAGAGGTATGGCACTAAGCCTGGCTAAAACAGCCATATTTCTGTTTACATTAAAAAGACGTGGAAATTTCCAGATTATTCAGCAAAATCAGCCTATTCAAACGGTTGAAACTCATAAATTCTTGGGAGTAATTTTAGACCGGAGACTAACATGGTTGCCTCATGTCCAGTCCCTGGAACAAAAAGTGAATCAGGCGATTCGAATCCTCCGGCATCTCTGCGGGGCCAAATGGGGTGGTACTACACAGTCGTTATTAGCCCTACATGTTGCATGGATACGCCCCATTGTAACTTACTCACTGCCTCTGCTGCGAATACTTCCAGCCTCCACCAAAAGGAGACTTCACTTGTTATTGTCAAGGAGCTTGAGGATATTTCTGGGTTTACCACGGTCAAATTCCAGTGCTTTAGTGTATGCGGAGGCTCGAGAGTCACCTTTGGCAGTACTCTGAACTAAAGAAACATCTCGAAATTTATTTAGAATTTTCACGCCACATGAAAGTCATTTTTTATCTGGTGCACTAACACAAAGGACGGCAACGAGACTACAGGATACTATAGCGTCATTTCAAGCAGTCGTACCAGAATTTATACAATGGAAACCTTCAAAACCACCTTGGACGCTGCCACTTCTCAACGTTATCCGTGAAATAGACGGCATAGAGAAGAAAGCAGACATGACACCTCTAGTAGCGGCACAGTTGGTACTTAATCAGCTTGATGTAATGCATAATGAAAAAACGAAGATATATACAAACGGATCATGCACAGAAGACGCGTCAGCCTGTGCGGTCTTTACACACAAAATTCAGAAAAAGAAGATGTACAAATTATCGCACAAATCTTCATCGACGACAGCAGAATTGGTGGCTATCTTTGAAGCAGTTAAGCTTATCTGCGAGAATCCTGAGTTACGAAATGGGTGATATGCACTGATAGCAAACCTGCTCTTCAGCTAATCAGAAATGTGAGATCACGTTACAGAAATGGTGAAATTGCACAATGTATCGCAGAAACTGTGGAATATGCCTCATCAAAGGGTCCCAACATCGTATTCCAATGGATGCCCAGCCACATTGGAATAAAGAGAAATGAAGATGCTGATAGCCTCGCGAAGAAAGCATTGAAGGAAGGACGGGATTGCGCAATCCCTATGTCAGGGGCGGATATTCGATATTTTATATCGCAAGGAGCTAACCATTGTTCGATGAAGAAGTGGTTTGAGAGCCCTAAATCAAAGGAAACGGTACTTTCTGAAGTTGATCTTCACAGAAAATTTTCCATAGCGACAGACCTCCCACGACACCTAGAGACATTCTTCCACCGACTTAGATTGGAAGTAGCATACACAAACATCTTCCTGCACAAGATACATCGATCCAACTCACCGGAATGCCATTGTGGTCATGCAGAAGAAAATGTTCGCCATATTTGTTTTAGAGTGCGTTAAATACGCGAATTAAAAAGAAAAAAATAAAGAACAAATAAGCAAGTTTGGACAGACGGCCCCTCACAATAAAGAAACTACTTGGACCATGGCCTGAGATGCATCTCCAGAAAAAGGCAATAATCTTCATGACAGACTTTTTAGTGGAGACCAGACTGGACAAGTGCCTATGACAGACAGCCAGAGATGGGTGTTATATAAAATGTGGTCATGTATATACTGACATTAGATTAGTAAGGTGTGCGTGTAAGTAGTATATGACTGTGTGAACTGCGTGAAGGAAACTGTGTATTGGCATAATATTTGAACTAGTTTCAGTGTGCTATTATGTTTTTTTTCTTTTCAGTATTGTTATTTTTGGGTACTGTTTTGTATTATTATTTTATTTTTCGCTGCAGAACTTTGTGATATGGAGTAGCCGAGGCAATAGGCACCTCAACCTCTCCACAGCAAAACAGTTAAAAAAGAACTGAGCAGAACAGACCTGCATGATTTTGATCATCACTCTGACCCAAAAATTTTTATTATTTCTTCTATTTGCAATGATCGTCAATTTTCGATAATGGACAAGACAATTTTTCACTCAGGACCACTGACGCCTACACCGGAATTTCCGCTGAGCGAGCTGTTTACCACTGTTGCGTTAATGATGCTGTATTGGTAGAACGGAAAGTGGGTTACGTGAACAAAAGACACATTTATTGACCCATTGGCAAGAAATATTGCTAATAGTCTCCGTTTCTACGCGTACAGAGACCTGTAGACACCAGGTTTAGCAGTCACGCTATAGGCCATTCCTAGTCACAATGCTTGTACATGACAAGCTTGCATGCATACAAATCGCTTTTGACCGATCTCCATGAAGGTTGATTATCAAGTTCTTTGAATTATTCAATGCACACGCGAGTCATAGGTCAACAGAACGGCAATATTTGTTTTGGACTCACTATGGACGCTCGATTGACACGCCAGAAAACTTTGAAATAAAAACGCTGAAAGATCTTATTACGAAACTCAAATAGCGATTGAAGTTTTTTCATAATATTTGTAATTGTCAAGTCGCAATCGACAGAGTGAAATATTTACTTGCATCAAACTACGTCTAAGACCACATTGGCCATACGTTCAAGATAGGAGAAATCACAGGCAAAACTGACGTATATCAAAATGATTGTTTACCAAAGCAATCAGTGAATGAAACCAACCACCATTGCCTCTACCATCTGAAATGATTTGTTTTATGTTATGTTAAAATGAGTGTGTTGACATTTTTCTTGAATGTGTTGCATTTGTTTATTGGTACATGTTTTTGTGTTGTGGATTGTGATTAAGTCGACCTTGATTTGTTTAGCCTACTATGTGCCTTTTTTATTACAATTTTTGTAAACGGTCCAACAGTGTTATGTCAATAGGCGCTGTGAATAATACTATAAGTAAATAAAGTGCCAATGAATAAGCAATAAGTTTAAACACAATCTATGTATCTCTTCGGGAAAAGTGGACCAACAGTGACATGCCCCCACCAAAAACTTTATTAATTTCCCAAGTTACATTTTAGGAATAATTTCTTGAGAATAACTTGAGAATTAGTGAGAATAACACGAATAAAAATGTTGAGATGATACGTACAACTTTTGTTTTGACAAAGATGGTGACTGCACGCAGACCATTCAACAAACGGCAGTATTGTTAGATGTAGAATGCCTTGTGGGGCTATAACTTATGCAGGCGACACAGGCTGACGTAATGTAGATGAATAATCTGAACAGCTATATATAAATCTATTCACATAAGCCGATGTTTAACCTTACATCTATATATATATATATATATATATATATATATATATATATATATATATATATATATATATATATATATATGATTGCCATATCTGCCCTTATACAGCAACATCCATATATGGGTATATGAGATAAGAAATATCAGGTTGTATAAGTCCTATATACGGCTATATCAGGAATTAGGAATATAAGGTTACCGAAGGCCCATATATGAGGATTTTTATATAGGTTCATATACGGTATTTTCGTAAGGAATAACCTTCGATGTCTATATTTTCTTAAAACCTCTCAACAATATCACATCAGTAGCAACCTTGAAACACCACGACACACCTATGCATCTAAAGGACCCCAAACCTCAGTTTGTACCACGTTTTTGCACCGAATATAAGCAGCACTACCTCAAACACATTTTGTCGGAAACTCTACGCTCTCAAACTAGCTCGCGAGATAGGACGAGATAATAAAATTCGTTGTGAGATTGCTAAATTGTTTCGCAAAAGAAATATTTCGCTAAAATGTAAGCATAGGCACGGCATATTCGTGTATAACGATGTAAATCAAAATGAACGTGTTTTGTTTGAACGCTTTAATATTTAGGCAAATATGTGTACCATTGATTGTCAAATATCCTTTAATCAAGCATCTGAGGGTCAAATTCGTGTTGTACTAAAATATTTATGTTCCAGCACTTTCATGAGCAACGCCTCCTGGGCACAGTCAAGCTGCTGACAGCTGGTTTTAGCCCCGGAGGATGTTTTTAGATCCTACTAGAAGAAATGATAAAGTTGAAGTTGGTATTGCCCTTTGGAAGTGCTAATATTTCTTTGCGGTAACTTAAACATGTGCTAATACATTAATAAAGTCTTTCTGTTTACGTTTGTGACATTGATTTTTTTCTAGGTTTAAGAGAATACATTTGTGATTTTATGAGACTGTAACCCGGCTGCCATTTCTATGGCACGTACTCACTCTTCAGTTATTCAGCGTTTACGTAAAATCTCAAGGGATACGTGCTTTATTTGCCCTCCTGTGAAGCATAGTCAAAAATAGTTTCACAAATTTGCTTGTATGTTGTCTATGACTTTCTGACACTAACTTTTTGAGTTCGAAACAAATATGCAATTTACACCTAGTTTATGCAAAATAGCCATTTTTTGTCTTTGTCAAGTTGTAAATGTGAAAGCCGCCATGTACACCTACCTTCTCGTAAATAAACATTCGCGCTTGCCGCTGCTCTAGATTTAGAAGCATAAGGGCTCTCGAAAACTAAAATTTTCAAATTAAGCCACATTGGCTGTCCAGTAGTTATGGTGCTCAGCTGCTAACGCCAAGGACGCAGGTTCATTGTCTGCGTCGACGCTAGCATTTTGATGGAAGCCAAACTATACAGCCGCGTGTAGTTATCGCCAGATGCTAGTGCGCGCAAAACATCTCAAGCTGGTAACAATGAACCCTAACACGTTTTCATGGCCTGCCCTACAGCCTGCTTTGCTTTAGTACATTAAGCTCTGTAAACAAAGGACCTTTTAAAAGAGCAGAATGTATCAAAAACATACATACTACAATAAACCGTGAAGGCAGCAAGAAAAAATGTCTCATTTTTTGTACTTGAAGTAACCAGCCATGGCGAGGAAAATCATTAGAACGTGCCAGAGCCCAACTTACTGCTTCTTTTGTTCTTTTATTTCAGACGGACTATGTATGGTTATGTTGACTGGAGGCAAGTAATTGTCAATGGTATGGTTTTCATCATTAAGTTATGAAATGCAGGCAGTCACCTTAATAGTTGTATTCTGGGTTGAAAATTAGTAGAAGGCGTGTTTTACACTTCAAAAAATTTTCGTGAAGTAAGACTTTTTTAGGCGCTTCTCAATGAGGATTATATCACGTACGGCCCACGGACATCATGATTTGTTGCCGAACTTAGATATAGAAATGTAGAATTTTAGTGTGTGCTGACAATGACGCCAAAATTGCAAGTGAGAATATTTTTTTGTCTACAAAGTCGGTCTAGCACACATCTAATATATTTATTGAACTCAACGAGTATTTTACCAAACCAAAAAAACTGTAGTTCCATCCATCCGTTCGTCCGTCCGTCCGTCCGCCCGCCCACCCGCCCGCCCATCCATCCATCCATCCATCCATCCATCCATCCATCCATCCATCCATCCATCCATCCATCCATCCATCCATCCATCCATCCATCCATCCACCCACCCACCCATCCATCCATCCATCCATCCATCCATCCATCCATCCATCCATCCATCCATCCATCCATCCATCCATCCATCCATCCATCCATCCATCCATTCATTCATTTATTCATTCATCCATCCATCCATCCATTTATTCATCCATCCATCCATCCATCCATCCATCCATCCATCCATCCATCCATCCATCCATCCATCCATCCATCCATCCATCCATCCATTCATTCATTCATTCATTTATTCATTCATCCATCCATCCATCCATTTATTCATCCATCCATCCATCCATCCATCCATCCATCCATCCATCCATCCATCCATCCATCCATCCATCCATCCATCCATCCATCCATCCATCCATCCATCCATCCATCCATCTATCTATCTATCTATCTATCTATCTATCTATCTATCTATCTATCTATCTATCTATCTATCTATCTATCTATCTATCTATCTATCTATCTATCTATCTATCTATCTATCTATCTATCTATCTATCTATCTATCTATCTATCTATCTATCTATCTATCTATCTATCTATCTATCTATCTATCTATCTATATATCTATCTATCTATCTATCTATCTATCTATCTATCTATCTATCTATCTATCTATCTATCTATCTATCTATCTATCTATCTATCTATCTATCTGTTCCCCTACATTTGTGCGATCTCGGGACCTACTCAAGTTGGAGTAGACGAAAATTAGAATAGACGTGTAAGATGGTCTGACGAGTATAACTGTCTTGCCATGCTACGAATAATGTGAAAGTAACGTCGAGTGCAACGCCAAACCCTTTCCTCCAGAAATGTGTGACACATACCAGCATACCACAGGTTTCCATAAGCGTGTATGAGCTGGAAGTGTTTCACAGCTTATATCGACCTAGAAACGGAGAGAACCAACATTGTTAACTTCACTGCGATTGCGCCAAGTCAAATTGACATTAGCAGCGTTGACCAGACGAATGCAAGGAATAAATCCGCTGGTCTTGGCAAGAATCAAACTCGAGAATTTCGTGTGGCAATCAAGTAATCAACCACAGAGCCACTATAGAGTAAAGAACTGCTTTGCGAAATTACCCTATACAAGCGTAACTTTGATGAAACGTCAATCGTAGTCGCAATGCTGCCAGTAGAATGTTAATAATATTACATATGTGTTTCAGTAAAACAGGCGCCACATTGGGTCAGCGTCAACTTTAGTTAAGCGCCACGCACTGACGTTAGTCTACGTAGAGCTGTCCAGGGCTACAATCTTCGCAAGCACAAGCTCTGCATTTGACAATGTCGATTCTGGTGCTGGTAATAACCATCTTGCTATTTCAATTTTTTTGCAATATTAAACAGCTAGTCATGAAAATAATAATCATCATCATTATCAGCCACACTTCCTCTACTGCAGGACAAAGGCCTCTCCCATGTTCCGCCAGTTACCTTGGTCAGTCGTGCACAGTGGCATAAAACATATGCCACTGTTCAAAGTGTGACTCTGCTAACAACGTTTGTACAAATGTTTAAAGCCGTTTCCTAGCGTTTCGCTCAAAACAAAAGATTACACCACAGCCACCTTCCCTCCGCAAGCTTTGCATGATAAAGACTCCCGTGGCACGTGCGGTCTGTAAATTATTATATTATTTTTTGGTGTATAGCAAGCTAGCAAAACGCTGCCAGCGCACAATCAGTGGAACATAAAAGTACTGGCATACATGACATGCGTGCCATTATTTTTGTGTTACCTACCATCTGTTCCTCTTATATTGTCAAGTCGCGTAGTAGAAGTTTCGGCGTATATAAAGCTTGCACTAGTGCAATACCTAAACTCAAGTAATCTGAGCGGCCCCCGGTAGAGTCAATTTGCAGCCCCCAAGTGTGCTCGTGATTATGTGCATCTTTCTTCTTTCTCTTCTATACATTCTACTTTCTTTATCTCTTGCCCCATTGCAGGGCAAAAAAAAATGGACGCGAATTTGCGTAACCTCCCCGTCTATCCTTGTGTCTACCTCCCTAATCCGTATATCAGCCATATTCACACATATACCTAACGAAGTGGATGAGCACATAGCCACCCGAGTAGCTCAGTTGGTAGAGCATCAGACGCGTTATTCGAAGGTCGCAGGTTTGGTTTCTGCCTACGGCAAGTTATCTTTTCTTCTCATATTTTGATTCACATATACATTACGATTACCTCACATAACATTGCCTACCCTTTCCCTGGAATAATGTTCTGTGTATCTCCTTAATAATGTGTTCAACAAAAAAAAACTAGCCTTCAACATACACTTCATACTCTCACTCTTGCGATATTGGCGTGAGCAGATCAAAAACGTAGCTAGCAGATCAGGCATACATGACATCAATGTCAATATTTTCACGTTTTAACCTGGTACCTATGTTTTCCTACAGTCGAATTGTGGAATAATATTTTGGTGAGTAGCAGCTTAGCAAAACAGCCGGGAGCTCACTATGAATGTAGCACGAAAGTCATAGATTGCATGACACGCCTTTCATTATTTCCTTGTCGACACTCGTGGCATCTCTCTTGTACAATTACCTTATTCAATGCGGAGTTTTGTATATATAAACCTAAACAAACGGCAGCGAGCTAATCACGAGTATGGCATGAAAGTCGCAGCGTATGTGACATGCATGGCGTTTATTTTCAATTTATCTCATGTCATACATGTTTGTCCTACACACACGTCGAGAACTACTACTTTTGTGTATGTCGAGCGAGTGAGGTGGCCACCAGCTCACCGAGAATTGGCACCGTGAGTCGGTCATGGCGCACATAACATGAGTTAACATAAGTGTCATTACTTTCATGCAATCACCAGTCATTCTATTCATCACGCAGTCAAGTCACGCAAAATTTTTTTGTGAATATCAGTGCAGTGAAACGGTCATGCAGAGGACAACTTGTGCGTGACCTATAGGTCATGAAGTACATTACAATATTTAATTACTTATTATTTCCACGTGCTATTTAGGTTTGTCATGCAGTCACGTTCCACAATGTCCATTTCGGTGCATATCGATCAATTTGAACAGCCGTGAGCCCCCCAAGACTGTGTCATGTAAATCACACCATAGGCGACATGCGTGTTGTGTTTTACAGTTTAAGATTTGTCACTTGTGCTTGTCGTACGTTCTTGTGATGTCATACAAACTTTGGTATATAAGAAGTTAACGAATCGGCCACAAAAGTTTTCACACCACGAAAGGCAAATTATCTCGTCCATCACACGCATGTCATCATTTTCATTGCTTTTTTGCATACATCATAATAATAAAGTATTCGTGACAACACAAAGCCACAAAATTCGGAGAACTTCGCATTTAAACACCAGCATCGGCAGCGCTAGCTCTACTAATGTAAAAAATAAGTCTTAACCCAAGTGTAATCCAATCTCTGTGCTTGAAAATTATGAGTTCTACCCCATAGCCACGCTAAATTTTAAAACCACTTTCAAAAAGAACCATATCCACAAACAAGGCTCTGCCACATCAATCGTGGTTTCAATAATGACTATATACCTTAAAAATTAGATCATAAAAATTATTCACATTTCTGAAAGACGCAACATGTCCTGTTTTCCCCTTTTACAGCCGTCTAATAAAAAGACCCATTGCCTTCCTAGGGCTGAGCAATTTACATTTAAGCGTTGCTGAACCCGAAGGAATGCCCCGATGAAAGTTTTGTAAAATACTGACCTAATGGCACCATAAGGTGCACTTTATCTTGACGATACTACCCCCTATGATCTAGCGTTAGTGCTGAAGTTATGTCAGACCGTGGATAACCCTTTTTTGCATGCTAAGTGGACATTCGTGCGAAGCGCAGGACGTGTACACACTACCACCCTTACAATAGTACGTTGATCCACCTCAAAAGGCTTGCTTGATATGTGGGGTTTTAACATGCCAAAACCACCATATGATCATGAGAGACGCCGTAGAGAAGAGCTCCGTAAATTTCGACCACCCGGGGTTCTTTAACGTGCACCCAAATCTGAGCTCACGGGCCTACAACATTTCCGCCTCTAACAGTAATGCAGCCGCCGCAGCCGGGATTCAATCCCGCGACAACTCTGAAGGTTTGGCTTGCAGCCCAAAAATGCAGCCTGTATTCACTGATCAACCGCTTCGCACGAAACTCATTCCCACAAATGTGTGATGCCCCCAAATTTTTCACTTAAAAACATATATATTCGGGGTTTCTTGTACAACTGTAGTTGCGACGTAGCTTGGGAAGCTCAATATTGCTAAGCCCACTGTGCGCATTATTAAATATAAAAAATCACAGCATATCTACGGAGAGAATTAGCTTGAGGGGGTGAAGCTTCGGGGGTACATCGGTAAAGCCTGAATCCTCCGTAAATATTGCCCAGTCAATCATCTTAGAAAAACGACAAGCACGTGCTGCAGCCGCTTTCCGAGCCCTCCACTCGGCCCCCTTATCTTTTTCGCTCATGCTTGAAGCACACAGACTGCCGGCGAAGGAGGAAGCGCGTCAAGAGCGAATTCATTTGAAAAGAAGAGCGGTCTCCTTTTCCATGACAGCCCACATCGTAGTAGAATGAGCGCCTCAGCACAATATAGTTGGCAATCCGAGTTTTGGCAGATATATGGATGAATGCTATGAGCGCACCTTTCATAGCACTGCGGTTACATGTCCGCCACAATGCTTGCAAGAAAGAAATATAAAGAAAACTTTCTTTTTTATGTGTGCCTTAAGAAAAATATCTTCCTTTCACAATTTAGAATTTCTAAGCTCATTTCCGAAAAATATAACCAGATATACATATTTAGAACAGTATTGTGATACAGTAGATGCATCATACAGTTGATTCACTACACGTATCCGAATGCATTTGTCAGATGTATGTCGACAAAATTAGAGATACTGAAATGTATCTCAAAGATACTACCACGACACACTTGCATGGCGATACGGCCCACACCTAGTGCTTGTAAATATTTTTTACCTCCGCACATGCTGCCGAATGAACAATAGACCAGATGCTTGAAATTCCGCAGATGCCTTCATTTTCCGTGTTTTTTTCACCATCCTGCCTTCTCTTCCCGATATCAGTTAGAGAGACGAAGCTACTTTGCATAAAGAGCAATCTTATAACGGCCAAATCATTTAGTATATATTAAAATTAAGGGTGTTAGTTGAAACCATATTAAGAAATTTTGCGCAGTTTCTTCGTTGGCATGTGCTTTAAAGCTTAGTGCAGTGGCTGTACCTGTATAATCCAAATGCCCTGAAAAATAAAAAAAATGTGGTTTTTGCTGTTCTTAAAAACAGGTATCACCGCTATAAAATCAGCTTGCTCACGAAGGAACGTTGTCGTTATCTCGGGAAACAGAGACTTCAAGTTGGTTGTTTCGACGGTCGCTCATGAACTGGGACATGCGTAAGTTTTGAACAAAATTTAATTTGGACAGGCAAGTATGTAGTTTTAATGACCTTTATTTACGTTAGCCAAAGCGCTTTTGGCGTGCACTCATTTTTCTTTATATTGCTACACCCTCAATTTTATGTGTTATGCTTCTGGCACACAGGTTTCAGTAATCCAGGCCGGATTGTATGAGAGCGTCCTAGATGCTTTTCAGATCACCTATTTGGCTGAAAAGTGCAAACGCGAAAGGCTGAGTTCGGCAACGAAGTCGGCCATTAGCAATAACGCACGAATCTTCGACGCCACTCATAGAAATGCCGACGCGCGTAGCCATCAATAAATTACTAGATGGTTGACGCCTTGTTCTCCGATATCAGTGTACAGCCCATATTACTTGCTGTAGCTTGCGTTTCTGTTTCCTGGCTACAAATTTGGGCAAACGAAGTTTCGTTTCGTCCATGCCGTCTCTGCCTTTGTCAACGCCACGGCCACGTGACATCTTGTGTAGGCGCTTTGCGTTCATGTTCTGCATGCCTCCTTCAAGCAGTGAACCCAGAGACAGCCGTGAAGGAGACGTCGACGCCAAGCTCGGTTAGCGAGCTAGCCGCAGACTACTAAGGCTGACTACAAGGGGATTTAAACGATGAGACTCTTACGACCAAGGCGGCTAACGCTACTGCGACAACTAAAACAGCCACAGTGCCAACAGTTACCACTTGAATAACAAATTGATGGAGCTGCAAGGGAGCCACCAACTCTACCAGGATCACCATGCGATGACTCGGAAGGCTACTTGAAGAAATACAACCGCGTTGCTCTTACAATAATAGGGGCTGTGATGTGAAGATGGCGCCGGAACCCGGTTTGAGGACAAAGAGGACACCTTGAGCCCTTGACTACCTGCGACGTATTTTGAACTACAATGTTTAGAAGCTTCACAAATGTTATGCGTAAGGAAATGCAGAAAACCTGCCAAAAAGCAATGTACAGCTCACAAACGAAAACGTCGGAATGAAAATCGAGGAAACGACTCGCCTCTTCAGTCACCCCAACTGTGCCAAGTCGGAGAAAAAAAGCTCCGGTTCCTAATGCGGGGGAGTGTAGAAAGAACTGTTTGCGGGACTTCTCCGCAACCCACACAAGATTATCGATGAAATCGATGGTCTTGTGCGGGTCCATCTTATGCGATGGTCCATCGAGCGGCAAAGGCAGTACACCCACTGCCCTCAGACAACCAGCTGTGCTGATGTTAAGCCCATGTCGAAATTAGTGAGTCTACTGTAAATCCCGATCTACTGTCACATTGCCTTCGATGGACATCTACGTGTCCATACTCCTTTCTTGGCTATATATTAAGCACGTGTAAGATGCAGAAAGCGGTTATGGTAAATTATTCTTAGATATTTTGCTGAGTCTGCTTGTGGTATACTGTGCACGTTGCAAGTTAGTCTGATAATAACTTGGTTATTCAACAGGAAAAACTGTAAATGCGCTTTTTTTCCCATTGAAAAATGAACGGATAGCCTGTAACCAAATTTCAATGGTGCACATATGCGATTGTTAGCGAGTACGTAGCGAATGCATATCTGAAGCGAAAGATGCTATATTATATATATATATATATATATATATATATATATATATATATATATATATATATATATATATATATATATATATATATATATATATATATACGCAGCTGGTTGAGCATACGTCATTGTCGAAGTAGTAGTAATAGTACCACACCAATACCACCACCCATCAAAGTGTTATACTGGTTATCGGGCTCTACTGCTGACCCGAAAAGGGCTCGATGATATCCTAGTCGCGGCAGGCGCATTTTTGATGGCGGCGAGAATCATTTAGGCCCGTGTATATAAACCTACTTCCACGTGAAAAACCTCGGGAGGTATGAATTTTCAGAGGCCTCCCCCACAGCGTACTTAATAATCATATCATGATATTATGATGGCGAAGGCTAGATAATATTATTATATTAAAATTCACCACTCAATCGCTTTGCACAAATGGTTAACCAGCGAAAGGTGAAACATGCGGCTCCGGTGTTGAGCACTGGGTTGACCTCGACGTGGCACTGCAACCTTCCAAAATTGTTGGTTACATGCTCGTGCTTCCTAAATGTGATTAGACACACGATTCACTTGAGTTTACCACAGTGTTTTTTTTCATGCCGCACCTTGTGCCTTCCATAACGGTCATGGAGGAGTGTAATGCGCAGTTAAATGCATTTTACAATGCGTTGATCACAGTGGTTTGTTCTCGAACCACGGGTGACCACAGAAGTCGCAGCCGAAGCTATAGTTTACCACGGTAAAGACTCCCGCCGAAAGAGGGTGTTCGCCCCAGCGAACTTGCTCCTGCAATCCTCACATTGACGCCACATCGCCACGTTATTGCGAACGTTCATATCCTGAGCTAATTTGGTGACGGGATTTGCAGGATAAGCCAGCCACCTGCGCTAGCATTCCCGTTCACGATTTGAAGTAGCTTGGAAGGCTGCCAGAACATCGATACGCAGTTTTTGCCGGCAGTCGGCCTTCCGGGCCTGTTTTTATGCTCGGAGGGCACCATCGTGCCAGTGAATGCAAGTTCTCTCACGTTTCGGCGCTCTTCTAGAGTTGTCAGTAGCATACCCATGTGAAATGTTTCGGGAGAGACTAATGTGCGCTGGTTCGGCGTCACGACAGAATGGACGACGTCATTTATAACACAGCCAATGGCGCGCGTGCTTGAATAGGACGCTGTGAACGACGTAACTGATAACACAGCCAATGAGCACCACTAGTGACACCACTGCCGGACGGTTTTCTGTTTCTCCTATTCATCTTCAGCTTTCGATGTTGTGTTATTTTTAATAATATATTTAAAATAATCATATTATCATTTTTATTAGCAGCAGCGGTTGTAATAGTATTAGTATTAGAAGCCGTAAAAGAACAACAGATAGCACAGGTCAGGCAAGCACAACACAAGTGATTAAAAGGAAAAGTGTACATAATGATCATGAAAATTTTCTGTACGAAATATCGAGAAAGCTGTTCGAACTTTCTACCCGCTGCGGTAATCTAGTGTCTAAGGTACTCGGCTGCTGACCCGCAGGTCGCGGGATTGAATCCTCACTGCGGCGGCTGCATTTCCAATGGAGGCGGAACTGTTGTAGGCCCATGTGCTCAGATATGGGTGCACGTTAAAGAACCCCAGGCGGTCAAAATTTCCGGAGCCCTTCACCACGGTGCCTCTCATAATCATATGGTAGTTTTGGGACGTTTAACCCCACATATCGATCAATGAAGTTCGAACATTCATTACTACAATATTTAGGCACCTTGTTCATGCATAAGTATGACTGTAATAAAACACTCTTAAGCTTACGCCTCACTACCCGAAAGTGGACAATTTTTTTTTTCGCTTTAAGCTTTTAGCACTAGTAGCTACATGCAATCAAAATTGTGCTAGTTCCAGAAACTAACATGTCGACTTCATTAGTCGCTCTCACAAAGCGAATTCATTCTACGGAGAATTAGAGATTAGCCTATAAAATAATTTTTTTATTAGTCTAGGTGCTGTTCACGATGGGGTCGGTACATCGCGGCAATGCTCAGCAAGTGAGCGGCACCTTATGGCCCCATCCCTTGGTTTCAACCGAATGTTGACATTTTCCACATGCAGCAAGAGAGACATCGACACATTCTTGTCGTGAGTTTTCTCATAACATTTGTTATGCAAACAATAAGTGGTAAAATATAGTAATGAAATAAGGAGATATATATTGGTGGTTTCATACACACTTGGCACGACTGCTGAAAGCAATAGAAGAGAAAATAATAGTAAAGTGGTGCATCACTTAGCTGTGACTTGGAATGGTTAGCAACAATTTATTCGTGTTTGGCTCGCAAAACGATTTCACTTGTCCCCTCTGCTTATCGCTTCATTTCCGTATTTTTTAAAGATAATAATGTAGGAGAAAGAATGCTTGATCGATTGATTGATTGAAACTTTATATTTTGAATGATTGAACTTCATTTTGATTACATGAAACTAAATAAAGTTTTATTCAATCAAAGTAGGGAGTAGTGATGAGTTTATTTTACTTCTTGTTGCTTTAAAGCAGTAAGGGACCGAGTTAGTGTTAAGAAAAGTCAATAATGTTTCGGGACTATGCAATATTGATCGAATGGTTATTTTGAGTTTGTCTCATCAGAATGCTCTTCTGCCACAATAATGCCAAGCCATACAAATTGGTGTCCTGCTAGGAACACATACATGTAGACACCACTTCGAAGTTTTTTTTTTTTAAGCTCACCACACATATTCTGTGTTCATTTAATGTACAAGCCCAGATTTTTACCAGACTTGGGGAGCGTAATATTTAAGAAAAATGGAAAGTTCATTTGCACCTAATTCTACACAGGACGAAGAACAGCTGTTGTTTGTTCAGCCGTAGATGCCCAAGCGCTGCCATATCAAAGCAAGAGCAACAGAAAAGAAGAGATAATCAGTGCTTGAAACACATGAACAAAACCGAAGTGTTCTTGAATGCTACGGTAAGAATAATTTTTAGCATTCATTTAATAAGGTAAACAAATTAATTGCACTCGTGTTATTATGGCTATGCTATAGTGGAAGTAAGAAAAAGTATTATTGTGAATTCTCTGGTTTTCAAATATTGATTGTTTTTTTTTTTTCAGTCAGCATCCTTGTTTTGATATTCCCCTTTTCATTTTGTATGCTTTAGAGGGCTTCACGGGCGTACAAGCTGCTACGCGCTCAGTTTGTAACATTGTGAAACTAGCATGATGTGACAATACCGGCGTTTGAAAAAGCACGCACGACAGTTTTCAATTGCTGATGTACATTATATGACTGATCGCTTAGCGAGAGTGCAGACCTTAGTTTCGGACCCGGCTAAGCTCTATTGCGTACCGTCAGAAAGTATTAGCACACGCAGTGGAAATCAGTCGTTTCCTAGCTTCATAGCTTCACCTTGGTGACAAAAATTTGCATACAATCGTTTGAGGCTCATGATTTGTTGGCGATCTATCGGCCCTGATACAATGAAAAAAAAAGGTAGGAAGTGCATCTGATATATATAACAGCCTGCATCGAAACCTATTTTAGAACAGTACCTTAGGAGGGCGTTGTTTTGCACGAGACGCCGAAGCTGACTATGCTTGGTCTGGAAAGCTGAGTAGCTTTTTCATTTTCGCTTTGTAGCACTCTTCATCAGCTGCTTCCTCGTGCTACTTCGAAAAGCTCCTTCTTGCAACTTGTTCACTGCTATAATCAAATACTTTGGTGTGTTCTGCCAGTTATGCGTTATTAGGTTTATGGTGACTTACAGGCGCCACTCGAGTCATGCGGAATCCAGCTTGCGAAGTGCTGTTCTTCCTGGCAAGGACAAAGTGTTAGCATCGGGTTTTTAAAACAAGACTAGCAGCCGCATAGATTTCGACTGTCTCAGAGAGCCTTTACCTGCCTTAAAAACACAGACATTTTGGTATAATAGTGAACGCAAGACTAACTTGTGTTCGCCATGCCAGTCACACAAAACGGCAAGACGTGATCTCGCTTGCTATACTTCGTTTTAGTGTTGTCGTAGGGACATTTATTGCATTTCAATGACAATTGCCTTTTTTATGAAACGATTTTGCTGTAGCTCGAAACCTCTTGTTGTGCAGCAACTGCGAAGAAGCCAGCGATGCCTATCCGCCTCTGCCCGTACCACCAGATGCGACAACACGGTTTTACTGCCAACACCCTACTGGTATACAATGCGATGAGCGGCCGCACAACATAACCCAATAGCTTTCCGACACTGTATAGGGAAATCAACGTCCAGCACATCCACCATTGCAGCACGCTATGCATCCATGCTAAGGCCCCAATTAAATGCTTTTGATAATTTGCCTGATATCGTCAATGTCATCATCATCATCATCATCATCATCATCCGGCTGACTATACCCACTGCAAGACAAAGGCCTCTCCCATGTTCCGCCAGTCAACGTGGTATTTTGTTAGCTGCTGCCACTTTACCCGCAAACTTCTTAATCTTATCTGCCCACCTAAATTTTTGTCTCTCCCTCACCCACTTGCCTTCTGTTGAAATCCAGTTTGTGATCCTTAATGACCAGCAGTTATCTTGCTTTCGCACTACGTGCCCTGCTCATCACCATTTCTTTTTCTTGATTTGGACTATGATGTGCCTAATCCCCGTTTGTTTCCTGACACACTCTGCTCTCTTCTTCACCGTTAAGGTTACACGTATCATTTTCCTTTTCATTGCTCGATGCTTCGCCATTAAGTTATGTTTAACGCTCTTTGAAATCACTAGGTTTCTGCCCCGTTGCATCATATTAACGGGGATAATTACACAAACTGTTTCGTTAAACAACGCAGAAGTATTGTAATACACGAATTACGGCTGTGAAGATGGTGTCACAACCAGTATCCAGAAGATGGTAGACCGTTATTTTTTTCCACTATACGAACTTTTTGGCGAAATTCACTGGAAGCCTCAACACAGTCTAATGAAGGAATCTGAAATATGAGAATGTCGTATTTAAACTAAGGAATCTGAAACATGAGAATGCCGTATTTAAACTTTGAGAATGATTGGGGGAATATTTAAAGTGAGAAAGTAACAAGGAAGGTAACAAACATGGCGCAGGCTGCAACACACGGGTTCCTCAAAAATACAGACAGTCTATATATATTTTATGCACACGTGGCTTTTGTAAAAATGATTCTCTGTCTTTGAGATAAGGCATCCCGGCTCTCCTTTTTTTTGTCAGATGAAAACGAAATGACAAAGAAGCTATGAAGTGGTTGCAAACCATATTTTTCACTTACCACTAATTATAACTATGGTAACAATTGCCTAACGAGCGAAATACTTGAAGCCACGCAAACTGCGTCGTCAGCCCAACTGCTTATTGTATGAATGTAATATGTTGCCTGCATTTTCACAACGGATAAAGCCTCATCACTCGACACACAAGGTGTGTATTCGCGTCAAGTATACATCCTGTTAGAATAATCTGCGCTAGGTATATCATAAAGTTTCACGCATTTTACAAAAATCCTGGATGAAACAAAAAGGGGCGCTACGTTGGCATGATGAAATAATCCGATGTTGCAGAACAAACGCTAAACCTTTTGTATATAATATTTTTGTTCTACTTGCTACTGAAAAACTAAGACTAAGCAAGCTTTCTTGGGTACTCAGCCTAACGGACTGGTAATCACTTATAAAAGCTAAATATGCCAAAGTTTCAGAAAATATGCAGCAACGTTGCCTTGCACGTTTTCTGATGGCTACTAAATAAAAAAGTCACTTGGGCAACCATTGTTAATTCACAAACCTGGTGTATTCGAAAAGACGATTGAAGAACATTTTGTAAATTCCGAAGTGTCTCCGGCGAAAGCTTTTGCCCATTTCACAGGCTAAGCCATCATTTTTTTTTGTTTTTTTTTGTGTGTGCGCATGACACTCCCAGTGAAATAGGCAGATTTTTGCCGAACACACGTTGGAATTTAGTAAGTGTCCTTCAAATTTTGTGACACAGATCCACAAAGTATGGTTTGAAGTAAAACAATGGATTGATCATTCACCAATTCTTTGAATTCTTGCTTTAGAGCTCCATGAATTTATTATGCTTATCTAGGTCGACCTCTATGACAGCTTACTTGTGAGCCATCGGACTAACTTGACTGCTGCAACGAGACGTCTGACGAAGGAGCGTTGGCATGTGTGCCACTGTGCCATCCCCTGATCGCTGAAAAGATGTATGGAGGCATGAACGGGCAGTTCGACCACACCGCAGTGTCATTCAAGTGATTACTGAAAGAGTACGAGGGGAAGAGACCATACCTGTGACGACCAACTGTTACTATACGCGATGGTGCCATGAAGTGATTGATGAGATACTAATAGGGTACAGTTGACAGCTGGCACCGTTCCAGGGAATAGACAGACAAACTGTCGAGCACCCGAATATGAGCCTTTAAATGTTTTGCCTTAATGTGGTAAGGCCTGCGGAGTACACTTTGCCTGGTCACAGTGAAAGCTGGAAGAGTGGCCCTTATAAAGCCCGTTACGGACTAACTTATACAACAAATATAAATACACATAACAACGCCTTAAGAATTATCCCATTTTCGATGATGTAGGGAAGCATACGCTGTGGTCCTGTTCGTCATTTTATGGACAAACCTGGTACCACAAGAGCACCTTCAGTATCTTTGTGCTATGGCTGACAGCGATGAAATATTATGACCATAACCGTGCGCCGGGTCCCCCTTTAACAGGGGGGGGGGGGGGGTCCGTCGCAGCACAAACCTCCCTATTGGTCAATGTATGGGCTATACTTTGCGCCCTCCTTCTTCGGTCACTATAGAGGGGGTGACGACCCCTGTCACAAAACCAGGACGGATGGCGCGACGAAAAAAGCGCGTTAGTCACAAAGCAACGGGACAGAGATGCACCAAATACTCTTTATTTACCCTTAAATAAAAGTAGGCACCCTTTATTTGCAACGATAACTGTTGCGAAATCTACGCAGTAGCTAATTATGATACCGTAGTTGGCCTCCACCACCACCACCGATATCTGACTCCGCTATCGCGTAGAACCGAAATAAATGAAATGAAAGGAAAAATTCATTACGGTATTAGCTTTCAACCAGCAACGTCTCCACACCAGTCAGATATTGTACCACATAACCACCCCGTTCTATAAACACCACGGATGAAAGAATATTAATGCATCATCTCGGGCAACGAATCGCAGTAAGCACTCATCCGACATATAGCGCTTGTGCTTGTGAGACTCGTAGCCCAGGACAGTGCTACATAACTGAACCTAAGTAAATGGAACTCAAATACAACCACTGTTAGGACGAGGTGACGGATGTGTCATAGGGGTATATGTTTATAAATTTGAATAGCCAGCACTGCAACCAACCATGACAATGCAATATAGTCAAGTCTTTTTACAAATCTGTTTCGAGGCCTTCCGTGGCTCAGAACAAAAATACTTGATTGCACGCAGTATTCTTGGGTTTGATTCCTGCTCTGACACTGGTCATGGAACGTCTCGAACGATGGCGACAAAGCGGCGCGTACCGAGCATGGCCACTACAAGTTAAATATTTTTGTCGTGATATGATCGCTCTGTGTGTCCGCAGCAACTAAAAGTGACACATTGCAATATTTCTGGGGTTCCGGTGTGCACGCAAGAAGGTGCTAGAAGAAGCCTACCAGAGAGAGAAAGAGAGAGACAGAAAATAAAATGAGGGAAAGGCAGGGAGGTTAACCAGAAAATAGAGCATCCGGTTTGCTACCCTGCACTAGGGGAAGGGAGAATGGGGAAAAATGATGGAAGAGAAAGCGAAGAGGGAAATAGACGCGCGAAAAAAAGGGGGGTGGGGGGCTGGGGGGCTGCAGTCTATAAAATAGGCCACTGCCACGCAAAAAGTTCAGTAAGGCCTTCATTGATTGTCTGTGAGCGCACAGATCATGTCGCCTTTTCAGCACTGATTGT